ACACTTGATGCAGCCCAAGAATCGATTGGAGAACGCCCGAGGGCAAGACAGAATTCCATCTCTCAGGAGACACTGGAAGCCACTGATGCTTGCCATGTGGCTCGTCTGGCAGGGGATAGGGATTTGCACCATTCTCAGGTGTGCCGAGCTCGGTCTCTGTTAAGAAGGGACAAGGAAAAGTTTATTAGGAATCTTGCTGAGGAGGTTGAAGGCCATTTCTTAGTAAGTGACCTTCGTCCTGCATACCAAGCCCTGTAGAAAACTGAATTCCAAGCCCTCTTCACATGTGACTGCAGTTCGCTTAGTAGGTGGCCAGATCATCTCAGATCCTGTTGCAGTGGGGGAACATTGGGCTGAGTATTTTGAGCAATTGTATCAGGTTGACCCTCCAACAGTTAATTTGGATGCGGGTAGTGCCGTGATTCCGCTGCCAGACCCACCCATTAGCGAGGACCCACCCTCCCTAACTGAAGTTGGGGAGGTGAGCACCAAGCTGAAGAGTGGTAAAGCAGCGGGTATTTGCGGCCTCCCAGCTGAACTGTTAAAGGCTGGTGGTGAACCTATGGCATGGGGATTGCATGCTGTCCTGGCTGCCATCTGGCAGTCTGGTACTGTTCCCCCTGACCTATTGAGGGGTGTGGTCATCCCTCTCTGGAAGGGGAAGGGGGACTGATGGGACTGCAGCAATTACCAAGGCATCACACTGCTCAGTGTACCAGGCAAGGTTCTTGCCCACATCCTTCTGAGGCGTATCAGAGACCATCTACTGAGGCATCAGAGGCCAGAGCAATCTGGATTCACTCCTGGTAAGTCCACAATAGACCATATCCTTGTGCTTCGAGTCACTGTAGAGCGTTGTCGTGAGTTCGGACATAGGCTGCTTGCAGCCTACATCGACCTCAAGAAGGTGTTTGACACAGTGCATCGGGAATGACTCTGGGAGATCCTGAGACTGAGAGGAATTCTAACAAGGATTATTGGACTAATAGCAAGCCTGTATACTGGTACTGAAAGTGCTGTAAAGTGTGGTGGGGGCCTGTCGAGCTTCTTTCCTGTCAGTTCAGGAGTGAGGCAAGGCTGTGTTCTTGCACCAAAACTTTTTAATACTTGCATGGACTGGATACTGGGCAGAGCTACTGTTCAAAGTCATTGCGGAGCAACACTGAGCAACGTTAAGGTTACAGACCTTGACTTTGCCGATGATGTTGCTATTCTATTTGAGTCTTTGGAAACCCTAGCGGCGGCTCTCGATGCATTTAGTAATGAAGCGAAGCCCTTGCGGCGAGGACATCGAAGTCACAGAGAGCTTTACATACCTTGGTAGTGTCGTTCATAACTCTGGGCTGTCAGACCATGAAGTCAGCAGACGGATTGGCCTGGCAGCAGGGGTCATGAACTCTCTCGACAAGATCATTTGGAGATGCCAGTACCTGTGCAGAAGGACCAAGCTACAGGTTTTCAGGGCTCTGATAATGCCAGTTTTGCTCTGCAGCAGTGAAACCTGGACATTATCCTGTGCTCTAGAGTCTCATCTTGATGCCTTTTGTAATAGGTCCTTGCGCCGGATCATGGGGTACTGTTGGCGGGACCATGTGTCTAGCCAACGGTTGCACCATGAGACTGGCACAGGACCTGTTACCTGCACAATCCGGGATCGCCAACTCAGGCTATATGGCCACCTGGCTCACTTTCCACAGGCTGATCCTGCTCATCAGGTTGTTTCTGTAAGAGACAACCCTGGATGGAGGAGGCCTGTGGGACGACCTAGGAGGTCGTGGCTTGGGCAGATCAATCAAACCTGTCGGGAGGAGCTTGAGATGGGCCGAATCCCTGCCTGGCGGCTTGCCATGAGGGATCCCAAAAGGTAGACGCAGCTATGCACCCCTGTCGGCGTTAGCTCCAAATGATGATGATGGTGATGATGAATATGCCAAGTGACTATGAAGGGTGCACCATGTGTATTCTCTGGGTAAATGAATCATATTTCAAGTATTATCTTGGATATTAAGTAAGCACTGCTTTTGTGTTATAACTTATCCATAGAGCTACAAATGTCATAGAAATAGTAATCAGGCCAGATTTACAGATACCTCAGACATTTCTTACCATTCTTAATTATTAATTGATCGACAATGTCAAAACAGAGTCACTTTTACTCAGATGAGGGGTTATATAGTGCACAGTGAAAATATAAAATGCCTTTATGACTGTTGCTGATTCCCTCAACCACAAAATGGACTTCATGTAATCCTAGGCATGAAAAATGTCTTTATTCTATAAAGTGGTTCCTATACCTTTTTTCACTTTCCAGTTGATTCTCAGTCTCTCACCTCTTTTTTATATTTATAGATTGTGTTGTACATTTTGGTTATATTGATCATAATTGTATTTGACTGTTTCAGATTTTTAATGTGTATTGATGATTTAATGGTTACTTTCAATATTATAAACTTTGGCAGACTGATTCATGATCCCCCCTGTAGACTATCTAACACACAACACGCACTGCATTTTGGGAACCACAGTTCTAATGTGATAAATGATGTTAGGATACTAAACGCTAAACTCTTTTGATTTAATTAAATAGGAAGTCACCCTATAAGACATTTCAAATGATAAAGAGTTTGATAAGATAATGATTAATTTCAGACTCCTCATGCTCTGTGAAAGTCAGTAGAAATCCCAGGACTGGTGCAAAATGTCAGGGATCCGTCACTCTGGGGTAGAATCGGCCAGCTTCAACCATAAAGGAAATAAACAGAAGAAAAAGGGCAAACCCCCACCTCCACCTGGCTCAGAATCGGTAAGCATATAAATCAGCTTAGGATGAGATTATACACTGGTGTCTGTGCAGATGGAAACATTGAGGCTAGTAAGTAAAGAAATATAAAGTGAACTACCTTAGTTTGTTCATCTTCCCACATGCTCGACTATTACATATTTTCAAACATGTGAATATGAAGCAGTGGACATTGTTAGGGAGGACAATTACACTCATACCTTGATATTATGGACCTCCCTTTAACTGATAGCAGAAGCAACTGTTAAAATCTGGAGTAGCTTACTCATTCGGTAAGTCCTGTAGTTGCTGTGAACAGAGTTGTGGCAACACTGGACACAAGCTGCAGCCATGCACTTAGTTTACATCTATGGAACCATCTGTGTAGGTTATTGCTCCATGGTTTTCCCTCTTTTTCTCATGTCACTAAATTTGGGCGGTTTAGTATATATCTTTTTTTCTATAATCATGTCATCTGGAGGAAGAGCAGGAGTCGAAAAGGTGAATTTAACAATAGCACTAAAACTTCAGTAAATCAGATTTTTAGAAAGGTGTTTGAAAGGGTGGGGGGAGAGTGTTTGAGGAATATGGATTATAATAACAAACAGTTTCAGATGTACATGCATTTCACACTGTCAAATATCCTTCAGTAAAACCACATTCAATCTTTTACATAGAATGTAACATACTATATTCATTGAAATGGATTCTGTTGTACATAAGTAGGCTACTACAGGGTCAATCTAGTAACTAAAATGCGTGTGTTTCTCTGAACATGCAAAAAATAATAATAATGAAATAAAAAATCATGTTCGGCATGCAGTGATAAAAAAAAAGAATTGTCACATTTTTGGCCATCTGAAAAGGGCCCTCGAGACAAGCCCAGGCAGCTGTGCATAGCAAATGGAGTGGAGGCCAAGTGAACCCCAGATTCTCCTGGAAGCAATGGGTTAAAACTACAGTACTGTATTATTGTTCTTTTTTATATTGTTATTGTTGATATTAGCCACTCAGATGGACCTACTGTCTATAATTGTGCAATATAAGATTGATGCCCCACATCCCGTTTGTCCATTAAAATAAGGTAAAAGTATTTACAAGATTCAGTAGCAATGCAAATCCATATATTATAAATAATTAGATAGTGAAGTTTTGAATGTTATTAGTTATGTATCTGATTATTACTTAAAGTTATATCAAAGAAGTAATGTAGATAACTGCTTGACAAGCCTTTTCAACACAGGGAAACATGACATTTCTGTTAATATTTCTGTGAAAGAATCTTGAACTGAAGGCGTATCCCTCATATTAGCGTTTACAAAGTTTTTAATGGTTATATTAGGGAGCATAGATATAGTAGTTGTATGCTTTTCAAATATATACTGTAAGTTTGAAATGGTAAGGAACCCTGGTAATTTCATCAAGTACTTGTTAACCCATTTGACCTGGATGATGCTGTGGTCATGTCATGGAAAATTTTGAGTTGAAAGGCAGGTGACATGATATGCCATCTTTGGGCAAATTGGCCACGGCCTGGGAGACACAAACTTGCTGTCAAGAGCAAAGACGAGGGTGACGGAAAAGACTTGCCACTAGTGCACAAACCTGTTGGAGTATGATTTGACTCAATTGGCGTTTAAAAGGGGGCTTTAGCATTATTCCCATTGATAGATGAATGCAATGTGCATAAGCAGTGACTGGAAGAGCACTGGCTCTAGGGAGGACACCATTTCCATGCTGCGCACCATATTCCTGACTGTACTGTCACCAGTGGCACAGGTCATATTGTGTAAAATTGAAAATTACAAAAAAAATGAGATGTCTAACACACATAGCCAAATGTTCCATATTTTCTGTGGTGCAACTGAATCCAACAGGTTAAAGAAGCTGTGTTTATATGCTGATCTAATTGTTTGAACAGGAATGCTTCCTTTATTAGCAAAATGTATTTCTTAATACATAATCTGTGATTAGGTGTTTATAAAGAAAATATAAAGGGTTCACCTGGTTTGATAATTTCACTTATTTTCTCTGTCAAAGTTGACAAGTGTAAAGCAGAAGTTAAGGTGGCACCTTATACTTCCCATGAGTCCCAATCCTGGCAAATTATAGCCCATAACCAAAGTATGCTGGGTGTTAACAATAGCCAACTGCATAGAAATGTACCAGACACCGGGCTGATATCCCATCATGCATGGTAAAGCCTTCTAAGTTGTAAACA